ATTTTGCGGCTATACCCTGGAAACCCATAACTTTGTATTGCAATCACCCTGGCAACATAAAATTGTGGGACATCCCTGGCAACAAAATATTTTTGGACCCCCCTGGCAAAAAAATATTTGGCCAAAACCCCGGTAGGGCCATCATCCGGCAACAAAAATGTGGACCTCACCTGAAACATAAATTGAGGACCATCACCCTGGCAACTAATGTTGTGGGGGCCATCACCCGGGCAACTAACATGTATTCCCACCCCCTGGCAACAAAATTTTTTGGGACCATCACCCTGGAAACATAATATTGTAGGACCACCCCCGGGCAACATACTTTTGGGAGGGCCATCACCGGAAATAATACTGTAGGGCCATCCCCCTGGCAACATAATATTGAGGGCCATCCCCCGGGCAACATAAATAATATTGTAGGGCACCCCCCGGCAACTTAATTTGTAGGGACACTCTGGAACATAATTTTTTAGGGGCATCACTCTGGAAAAAAATTTTGTAGGGCCATCATCCGGCAAAAATTTGTGGGGCCCCTCCCCTGGCAAATTTTTGTGGGCCATCCACCCTGGCAACAATTATGAGGGGCCATCACCCTGGCACATAAGTTGTGGGCCATCACCCTGTAAAACAAAATTTTGTAGGGCCCACCCCCTGTCAACAAATAGTAGGGCCATTATGGGGAAACTTTTAAATTGTAGGCCATCACCCCGGCAACATAATGTTGTAGGGCATCACCTTGGCAACTTATTTGGGCCATCCCCCTGTCAAAAAAATGTTGTTCCCATCACCCTGTCACATTTTTTTAGGGCCATCCCTGAAAAATAATTTTGTAGGGCCATCACCCTGGCAAATAATATTGTTTTGCCATCCCCCCTGGCAACTAATTTTGTAGGGCCATCACCCTTGCAACATAATATTGGGGGCCACCCTTTGTCAACAAAATGTTAAAGGGGCCATCCCCCGGGGCAACATAATATTTTAGGGCCATCCCCTTTGGAAAAATTTTTGTAGGCATACCCTGCCAACATATTGTATTCCCATCATCAGGCAACATAATACGTAGGCCCATCACCCGGAAAACATAATATTGTGGGGCCCACCCAACATAATATTGAGGGACATCACCCGGGACGCATACTTTAGGGCCATCATCCCGGAACATAATAGTGTAGGGCCATCCCCCTGGCAAATAATAGTAGGGCCATCACTCTGGTAACAAAATATTGTAGGGCCATCCCCGGCAACATAATATTGTGGGGCCATCACCCGGGCAAATAATATTGTAGGGCCAACCCTGGAACATAAATGTAGGGTCATCCCCCGGGGCAAATAATTTGTGGGCCCCATCCCCCGGGCAACTAATTTGAGGGCCTCACCCTGGCAACAAAATATTGGGGGCCCATCACCCGGGTAACATAATATTTTTGGGCCATCACCCTGGAACATTTATAGGGCCATCACCCGGCACATAAAAATTTTGGGGCCATACCCTGGGCAACATAATTTTTTTGGCCATCACCCTGGAACATTTTGGGGCCATCCATTTTGGAAACATAAATTGTAGGGCCACACCCTGCCAAATAATTTTGGGGGCATCACCTGGCAAAAAATTATTGTAGGGCCTCACTTGGCAAATAATTTTGTAGGGACCATCACCCTGGCAACAAAATATTGTGGGGCCATCCCCCGGGCAACATAATTTGTAGGGCCCTCCCCGGGGTAACTATATTGTGGGCCATCCCCCGGAAAAACATAATATTGTAGGGCCATCACCTGGAAACAAAATTTTGTGGGCCCATCCCCCTGGCAACATAATTGAGGGCCATCACCCTGGCAAATAATATTGTAGGGCCCATCACCCTGGCAAATAATATTGAAAGGGCCCATCACCCGGGCAACATAAATTGTGGGGCCATCACCCTGCAACATATTTGGGGCATCACCTGGCAACATAAAGGGGAGGGCCTCACCCTGGCAACATAATATGTAAGGCCCATCACCCTGGCAAATAATATTGTAGGGCCTCCCCCTGGCAACTATTGTAGGGCCATCCCCCTGGAAACCATAATTTGTGGGGCCACCCCTGGCAACATAATATTGTAGGGCCTCCCCCTGGCAACATATTGTGGGGCCTCACCCGGGCAACAAAAATTGTAGGGCCATCACTTGGTAACAAAATATTGTAGGGCCATCCCCCTGGAACAATTGTAGGACCATCCCCGGGGAAAACTAATATTGGGGCCATCATCGGTAACTAATATTGTAGGACCTCACCCTGGCAACAAAATATTGTAGGCCATCACTTGGAAAACTAATATTTAGGACCCACCCTGGCAACATAATATTGTAGGGCCATACTCGGAACATAATATTGTAGGGTCAGCACCCTGGCCAAAAATATTGGTAGGGCCATCACTTTTTCCATCGGTTTGCATTATCAGGGAAACATTTTCTTTATGTACCAACACATTATGTTCTCCAAGTAAAAAGATATCGATCTGAAGAAAAAATAATCCCAACAGATAAAAAAAAAAGATTAATAACTTCACCGGATTTTTACTGATAAAGGGAACATTAGGGTGTGGTTCACGTTAAAAAATTTTATTTCTTCTACAAAGAAAATCTTATAAGATTTCTGGGTTTAAAACCCTTCCAAAATTATATTCTACGGGTATTACTCAGTTTACCAAAGGGTTTTGCATAACGTGGGGTTTTTAAATAAAAATTAATACTGAACCCAAACTCTGGACTTTTAATGCAGATTCATGGAAAATATTTTTAATAATAAATTTTTATTAAAAGCCTATCCCCCAAAAATATTCTTTACTTTGTAATGACAATTTTTCATCAAAAGTCAACATTTGACAAATCTCTTGAATTAAAGGTGTGTTTTGGAAGGTGTGAAGACTCACGTGTCGCTGTAGAGGAAGTTTATCCTGGGGCACCAACAACCACCAGACACTCCGTTTGGCACCTTCTTTTTTTGATTCTCGTTCCGACGTTTCCGAGGGGGACCCCGCTGCAGGAGAAAATTTGTTATCCGTTTTTATCACATTTATTTAAAACTGAAAAGACGAGAAAACCCGTTACTCAACTATTAAATGGGTTTTTCCAAATGAAAATTGCCATTTCAATCGCAACTTTTGTCACGTACGCCATCCACATTTAAACCTTCCCCCAAAAAACTATTTCAATGGGATGGTGGGAATATCTAAGAATGCTAATTTTAGGTAAGATTTTTTTCGTATTTTTTTAAACCCCAAGGTTTTTGCCGCCAATCCCCAAAAAATCAGTGGTCTCGAGAGCTTTTCTGTGTATTTTCATTGAGTCTACAACCTTGTCCCTAGGATGCCACCCCACGGTCGACTAACACCCGGTACCCTACTTACGGGGGGTAAGTGGGGTGGGGACAGTAGGTATAAGGAAACCCCCCTGTTTTGGGTCGAACCCTTTACCCACCGGCCACGGGATTTAAAATTTTACATATTACTATTTTTTGGGGATCATTTCCCTTTTGGGTTTCTACTTCAAGTTGCTGAAAAAAACTTTGCTTCTTGGACTCAAAATTCACGTTTTTAATTTTCTATGTTATTGTTAAATCGGGGGGACAAATTTTTATAGTCTGGGGGTATTTTTAGTTATATCTAACTAAATTACATTTAAGAATAAATGTAATTTCGGTAAGTGAAGACAAGGTTTTTTAGAAATTTTTTGGGGTTTCCAAAAAAAGGTAAACTCCCATTAAGACAATATTCGATGGGGTCGTTCTTGTCAAACTAGCAAAATACCTAACGACTCCGAAACGTATGAACCATTGTAAACAAACCATACCACGGGTGGGGATAAACCCCATCAGAGTCTGGAGTTTGAGACTCACACAACATTCACTTTAAAAATTTTGGGAAAACTTATAATCCTAACCCGACCAGTTTTTAATATACTACTGGGGAAACCAGAAACTCTGCCCCGAATAATAAAAAAATAATAAAAATAATAATAAGGTAGCATGGGTGCCCGTTTCGCTTGTATTCCCAATGTGGGTATTTTGGAACTTTTATTTCCCCACAAATCACCTGATTGAAAAAATCGGTACGAAAAGGGCATTTTTTTTTGTTTGGAATGAAAAAGAGGGTGATATTTCAATTTTTTTTCTCCAAGTTCGAAGAGTTATGCAGGAGGGACAACCACCTTCCCGGAGTGTTGTTTTAACAAAAAACTTTCTTTTCACTGATACAGAAAACCACAGTCAACCTTTTTTATTTTTTAATCATCACCGGCCCCCGTTAAAGGGGGACAGTTTTCCCGCCTTTACCCAACAATGAGGATCAGTAGCCCAGCCTACCGGGCAAAGACATGAACAATCAAGCAAAAATTTTCCAAATTGGGTACCCTCAGCGGTTTTTTAAAAAATCAACTTAAAACAAAACAACCAAGACTATTCAGTGTGTAAATCCAGTTCAAAAGATAGTTACCACAGGGTTTGCAACACCTGTGAATGTAAACAGTATTACAGCTTCTCCATCAGTAAAAATAAAGCATTTATAACATACCACAACAATAAATGAAATATAAGATGACACTAAAAAGTTTTGAGGCGGGAACAGACAACAGAGCCCCACTGCATGTATTAGAAAGATAATATATGTTAGGTAATCATTATTGAAGGTTCGTTTATCAATCACGTGCCACCTAGCGGCTTTACCAGTTCAGTATAAAGCTTAATAACTGGAGAAAGTGAAAGATGAGGTAATCAGTCCCTCAACCCAAGATGGATGCTTATATAACGAGAGTCAAATACAGTGTAGTATTTGAAGACATCGTCACTTGTGGGCAGGACCCATTAGTGAAGTAGATCATGCCCGAAAATTGGGCCAGAGGTTAGAAAATAGGATGCAGAAGATATCCTCCTCAGGAATGTTCCATGGTGTTGCTGTGTCATCCAAGTATCATAACATTAATTAAGAGTATACAATACTGATAAGCCGGGAGAGTACCGGCGAATAAGAAGAAAAAAAAACTGCGTATCTTTATTTTGAAGTTTCACCAACCAGTGACTTTAGCAATTCAATACAGAGCTTATCGTATACAACCTGTTTGCTAACTTCTGGCACAACTCTTGGGCATGACCTCTTTCCACAAATGGGTCTCGCCTACCGGTGACTGTCTTCAGCTGCTTCACCTTATTTAACTCCATCATATATGCTTACATCTTTCTGCCTATGCTTCAGATTTGTCAAAACATAGGTAGCGAACACCTTCAAGGCTGAGGGACTGATTAACTCATCTTCTAATGTCTCCAATTAATAAGCAGTGTTCAATTGACAAAGCCTCTGGATGGTGACACTTCAGAATGACGATACCTCCATCCACTACCCCCTACCCTGGCTCCAAAAAAAGGCACCACTCTCTGCCACACCACTCAGCACTCATATTATTACAATAGTGATAAGGTAGATCCGGAAAGAAAAAATATCACTTGCCTTAAAGTTCTTGTCTCCGAAAAGCCGATAGACAACCCTAAATCCCTGGATACTGGAGGCCTCAGAGTTCCACTGGATGATAACTGACTGATCCTTTCGATAAGCCTCCTGCACGATCACCTGCTGGAATAATATGGTTGCTGGAGTAAATAATGGTGCAGGGAATGGAGGAAGAATGCAAGTGGAGGAGTTTATAAGGGCGTGTGGAAATGAGACAATGATGTAGAGGAGTGAATAAGGGTGTAGTGAAGGGAGTAAGGAAGTACCGAAGGGCATAGGGAAGGAGAATAATGATATGGGAGTAACGGCGTTTGGGAAGGAAGAAGGGGAAGGAAACTGGACTAGTAAGCGTTTTTTTACATAAACGGAATGCAATAAGATTAGGACCAGTCACTAGTAGTGCTCCACAGCGATCAGTTTTTTGTCCCTTTTTGTTCATAATCTATATTAATGATAGTGTGAGGAAAAAGCCCTTAAAACGTAAGGATTATGGTTGTTTAGACACCCAGGAACCATTAGCGTGTTACCGCCGGCACTACCATCTAGCGGGCTGAGACTAAACTTCAGTTCCTCGGGTCTGATTTGCTTTAATTTCTACTCCTGATGGCATTAACCTTACCTAGTGTGGGTTAAAGTTTGGGGAAGCACTTCACTCCACTCTTCTCCTGATCAGCTCTGTTACTGGCCTGGCCAACCAGGGCAGACGCTAATTAATTGGAGCAAGACCCGTCTGTAGGACGTAGTGGGACATTACGACTCCTCACCTCTGAAATCTGAAGTGTGGTACTACGACCACGTAGTGACAGGAATTCCAGAACATCGAACCAACACCGCCACCCAGGATAACCAACATCATTTCTTCTAAACATCATCAGATCATCATCCTGGGAATAAGATACTCCTGTCCCAACATCCTACTACAACCACAACGACCAAGTTTTTTATTTCTTTTTAATTAAAATCTTTAGAAAATTATCTTCGTTATTATTCCTCAGGTCATCCATTCATTTATTTTTCCATTCTTTTATTCAGACGGAAGGCGTCCCCCTGACAATTTACTTCTCATTACATCGAGATCTGACGTCTCCGCCCTCTAAGTCGAACCCCTTATACAGTTTATATTTAAGGAGGAAATCAACAATAGTTTTTCTGTATGTTTTACTAAAATGTGGCAAGAAACTTCATTTCAGTGTTTATTGGAAACTCTCCAACCAAAGCTCTCTTCCCCAGTACCATTCAACCCATGACTCAAAAACTAAACGTAGTATTCTCTTAAGCCTTAAGGTTTTATCTAAGAGTTCTCCGCATCTGTATACCTGGAGGATGTTCCGCGGCCCTGTCTATCACCAGGCCTCGCGGTGGATCACGGCCTGATAAATCAGGCTGTTACTGCCGACCACACGTAACACAACACGAGAACCACAGCCCGGATGGTTAGGTACTGCCTTTAGGTGTCCGTGCAGCTTCCTCTAGAAGACAGCTAAGAGGGTCTAGTGAATTTCTTGAGTGATCTGTCCCAGAAAAAAATTTCACCGAACTACACAACCCTCGATACTTCAGTCACTGCTTACGAGGGATCTATAGCATGTCACTGCTGACGAGGGACCTATAGCATCAGTCACTGCTGACGAGGGACCTATAGCATCAGTCACTGCTGACGAGGGACCTATAGCATCAGTCACTGCTGACGAGGGACCTATAGCATCAGTCACTGCTGACGAGGGACCTATAGCATCAGTCACTGCTGACGATGGACCTATAGCATCAGTCACTGCTGACGAGGGAACTATAACATCAATCACTGCTGACGAGAGACCTATAGCATCAATGACTGATGACGAGAGAACTATAACATCAATCACTGCTGACGAGGGACCTATAACATCAATCATTGCTGACGAGGGACCTATAACATCAATCACTGCTGACGAGGGACCTATAACATCAATCACTGCTGACAAGGGACCTATAACATCAATCACTGCTGACAAGGGACCTATAACATCAATCACTGCTGACGAGGGACCTATAACATCAATTCACCTAGACCTGACACCACCGAAAAGGGATATAAAATCCTCCGAACAACTTATATGCCAAATACATTCCCAAGCTTCTTTCCAACTGCATAACCACCCTTGCCTCTACTACCAACAATGGCATCGCCTCAAAAACACTAGCAACATAACTTATGCAGGAGGGTATACCACTCCATAAAAATTTACGAAATCTACGTGGATGAAAGAGATCACAAGCGCATTTTAGAGCACCAATACGGCAGCAGGAGAGAAAATTTCAACAACGCCTGCATAATACATCGCAATTCTCACAACCACTTGAAAAATTTAACTGCTGCACAATATCGTAACTGCCAGGGAGGACAACACTCGGCATTTCCATTTTCAATCGGAACACTTTCTACATTTTAGATGTACCTCTTGCCAGAAAACTTCTTGGACGTTTTCAAATCTGTGACCTAACGCGCTACTACTCTACTCCTCTCTTACCAAATTTATTTGTTTGTGGATTAGCTAACTGCATACACGAAACGTTGTCAAGTAAATGTTTCCTATAACTGCTTTGTGTCTTTTCCATTATGCCTGTATCTCACATCATTACCAACCCAACTCTATTACTGTTCTTATGTAAGGGTGTAAGGAGGGATTCAACGTTTAACTAAAGGCGTAGTGAAAGTAGTTAAGGATGCGTGAGAGTAAAGGTTTAGAGAAGGAATTAAGAATATTAAAGATATATTGGAAAATGGTGAATGAGAGTACATATCAAGTGCTGCTGTGGAATACGAAAGCTTATTTATATCCTATTAATTATTATACTGCGTTGCTACTCTCTGAATTATGTGATTTTAGTTTTTAAAAAGGATCACTATTGATGAAATGTATAATACCATAACCACTAAAACCCATTTACCTTGTCTTCGTAGGGTCCCTGTGCTTGGCCACTGAAGTTGTCCAGTGAAGATGAGTCGTCGTTCCTGAGTATCAGACTGGGTCTGGACACGGTGGAAGGCACTGCCTGGGATAATGGACGCTCTAGGCGGGATGGCCGACGCTGCGATCTTGTGGGCAGTACTTCTAGGGGTAACTCAAGACAGGTTCTTTATCTATACCCAGGTCCTGCCCTCCTGGACCCCATTTTAAGGAGCTCACACTCCCCTCAATTTCTAGTTCCTCTTCAGGGGTTGAAGCAGCAAGATGTTTCAACGATCCACTTTGGAATAAAGTCATCTGTGAGGGCACACAGGTGTCATTTAGTAAATGAAGGATAGCTAGCAAGCTTAAGAAAAATCACTAAGAATGATATCTTGTCAAAATAGTGTTAGAAAGTCAAGTTAAAACTTGCAACCATTTAAGAAAAGATAAAAGTGTCATACATATAACAACTGTGAACATCTGTTGCCACAAACTAGACGACATATCTAAAAGATTTTTTAATGTAATGGAATATTTTTTGTAATGAATTCAGATATTCACAAATGATTTATGGAAAACTTATAAATACATGTATAAATCAAACCATCCTGCATATTCCTTTCTTATAAAAATACACTGAATATGTTAAATAACGTTTATATGTGGAAGATTTGCTTTAAAATCGTTATTTCCCAACCATTGATAATTTATGTTTACCTGGAGAGAGTTCCGGGGGTCAACGCCCCCGCGGCCCGGTCTGTGACTAGGCCTCCTGGTGGATCAGAGCCTGATCAACCAGGCTGTTACTGCTGGCTGCACGCAAACCAACGTACGAGCCACAGCCCGGCTGGTCAGGAACCGACTTTAGGTGCTTGTCCAGTGCCAGCTTGAAGACTGCCAGGGGTCTGTTGGTAATACCCCTTATGTATGCTGGGAGGCAGTTGAACAGTCTCGGGTCCCTGACACTTATTGTATGGTCTCTTAACGTGCTAGTGACACCCCTGCTTTTCATTGGGGGGATGTTGCATCGTCTGCCAAGTCTTTTGCTTTCGTAGTGAGTGATTTTCGTGTGCAAGTTCGGTACTAGTCCCTCTAGGATTTTCCAGGTGTATATAATCATGTATCTCTCCCGCCTGCGTTCCAGGGAGTACAGGTTTAGGAACCTCAAGCGCTCCCAGTAATTGAGGTGTTTTATCTCCGTTATGCGCGCCGTGAAGGTTCTCTGTACATTTTCTAGGTCAGCAATTTCACCTGCCTTGAAAGGTGCTGTTAGTGTGCAGCAATATTCCAGCCTAGATAGAACAAGTGACCTGAAGAGTGTCATCATGGGCTTGGCCTCCCTAGTTTTGAAGGTTCTCATTATCCATCCTGTCATTTTTCTAGCAGATGCGATTGATGCAATGTTATGGTCCTTGAAGGTGAGATCCTCCGACATGATCACTCCCAGGTCTTTGACGTTGGTGTTTCGCTCTATTTTGTGGCCAGAATTTGTTTTGTACTCTGATGAAGATTTAATTTCCTCGTGTTTACCATATCTGAGTAATTGAAATTTCTCATCGTTGAACTTCATATTGTTTTCTGCAGCCCACTGAAAGATTCGGTTGATGTCCGCCTGGAGCCTTGCAGTGTCTGCAATGGAAGACACTGTCATGCAGATTCGGGTGTCATCTGCAAAGGAAGACACGGTGCTGTGGCTGACATGTAATGTATATATATAAAAAAAACTTGCACAGCTGAGAAGGAAAATAAGTTTATCATACAAAAATCATACGTTCTTAATATGCATACTTTTGCATAAAACAATGTACGTGATTGCTTTAATTAAGACAAGGAATCAAGGTAGTACCAAATACCAACATGTATAATACTAGTGCATTTATTATGGAAGCAGAGTGTCAACCTAATAAAGACTAGAAAAACGGCATATTAAACACCAGTGGGACAGGTTAAGTGTAGATCGTAGAGGGTCACAGCATTGAAAGATGTCAGGAACAAAATCCGGTCACCTGATCGATGTGTTTTAACGGAGTAATATTTATTTCGTCAAAACACCGACATATTAAACTTAATGATGTTCTGAACGATTGTAATTAGACGGGGCAATAGTCGCTTAGTCTAGGCACAATTTTTGTAAGTCATTCTCCTGGTAGCCAGTCTCCTTTCATCCCACATGTTAGGTAAAATTGCCTCATATATATATATATATATATATATATATTATATATATATATATATATATATATATATATATATATATATATATATATATATAATATGGCTTACACCGATGACTGCCAAGAAATGGTGTTTACTGAGCCATTAATCAGACTAAGGGTCGACAATATGAATTATTTTTTTGATAATTTCTGAGATAACCTTATTACCACTGGACTTTGGAAAAGGCGATTAACGACATGCCCATGCACTCTGCCCGGTGTGTGTGACTCAACAATCAATATTTGCACCAATAACTCATTACAGTTGTGACCGGGTGTGGAAGTGTGAATTGCTCATTACTCTATAATTTGTTCATGATTGTAGCCAAAGTATAAACGTAAGTAACCATTGCTTACAGAATTCATTTACCTTTGACTTGTGAGTCTTACCTTGTACCTAGTTCAGCTATCAAAACTTTGGGGGCCAGTCCCTGGACCCATTACGTACCTCTGTAATCTTAAATACCTTTGTAACTTGTCATGATTGTGACCAGACTTACCTGGAGTTCATTACCTTTGTAAATTGTGAGTTCATTACCTTTGTAAATTGTGAGTTCATTACCTTTGTAAATTGTGAGTTCATTACCTCTGTAACTTGCTCAGCTATCAAAACTTTGGAGTCCAGTCCCTGGACCAATTATGTACCTCTGTAATCTTTTGACTACCGCCCACAGGATGGGTATGGGGTGCATAATAAACATATTAAACTAACTAACTCTGCCCCAGGCCCAGACTCGTGGATCTCAGTGTTCATCATTAACTGCCAGAAATGCCCTCATGCATGTGACGGTCATATATCTCTGCCTGAAAATCGAACCAATTACCCTTCGGTTGTGATTCGAATGGTCTACCATTGAGACATGGTCACCTCTGAAGGGTTAATGAAAATCAATCCTGACCTGGGTCTGCATAGAGGCTGAGGTGCGAGTTCTGGTGTAATGGGGTCGGTTGTAAACACCGAGTCCGAATCGTTTAAAGGGGCTAACTCTGTCGTGGGCAATAAAGCTGTGGGCAGGACGTTAGAGGAGCTGAGAGGGGTAGGTGCTGTTGCAGAACAGATTGTTGAAGTTAAGCTAGTAGAAAGAAACGTTCGGTACTACTGTGGTTTGCCCACACAAAACAGAGGTGTGCGTTCTCGTGATGTTACCTGCAATCGTACCGGTATTCCACTGGAGATCCAAACAATTCTGCAGTCACAGTTCAACGGACACCTGAAGCAATCAGTACTGTTTTAACTCAGACTATTGGGTAGTCAAAATATACCAATAAAGTTAATATTATATACGATACGGACTCGATTGTATCACTCAGTCTCTCGGAATAATAAATATCAAACAAATATATTTACATTGAACGACCTGTAATTCATAGGTCGTGGAAAAACACTTAGTGGGCTGCAGAGTTTAGAAGTTAGATTCCATTATATGACAGACTGACTTCAGGACACTTTCTGTTTTCGAACAAAATACATCAAAAGAATAGACCTGATGAATTAACTGATGAAATTTTGATTAAAAAAAAGGTAAAAATCCTCTCGTTTCATAGACTGAAAATGTGTACAAAAACTAGGAGTGCCATTGAAACCATAAGGGGAACTGACTTGTCTATGTAACAAGTTAACCCCTACAAACTAAGAGATTGAAACTTAAACTGAGGCGACGTTTTGATCTGACTTGGAACATTAATACACAACACACAAAACACGAGGAACGGAGCCAGATTATATACGAGAGCGCGGGGCGGGGAACGAGACAGCTAGAACGGCGGCGGCGGCGGTAGTAGAAGTAGTAGTAGTAGTAGTAGTAGTGATAAAGATGGCAATAAGAATGTAGTAGTGACAGTGAAAAAAAGGAGAGTTGAGTGTTAGCGAAGAAATAGCAGTAATGACACTGGAGGTAGACTGAGAAGTATTATAGTCTGACAATATTTGCACTTATTAATACTTTCATTATAATTATTACAATTATTCTTATTGCCTGACGTTAACCTAATATATATTAGCCGGACTGAAAAGTGAGAAAAATAATGCCTACACTTGAAACATGGCTGAGAATGTTACGTTGCTCTTCGGAATGTCACAACAAACTGTTATGTCTTCACTCTCCTAGCAAGACAACTACGGTATTAAATAAACGATGGCGAATGTCTCTCTGGGTCTCCCTGCTCTGGTGGGAAGCGGCAGATATAGTAATAAAATTATGCTTTCCCACTAAACAATTCTGATTTAATTTTGCTGACTAAGCACAGGTCTACATTATATGTTTTATGCTAAATATAACCCATTTGCATACATATGTAGAAGTCTTTGCCATTACATACCTAGAGAGAGTCCCTTGAGGGAGGTGAGGTGTGTGAAAGCCTGAGCAGGCAGAGTAGTGAGGGGGTTACCGTCCAGGGCGAGAAGTCGTAAGGACTTCACTTGACTGAAAGCATTAACGGGAACCTCGGTAATCATGTTGAACCCGATGTCCAGAACCTGCACCACACACTCTCATCAGTTACCAGATTAAAAGGTAAAATTGCAACACCAATATAAATTACATACACAACACAAATGAATTGTATGAAAATTTGAAAAACAGCTGTCCAGCTCTAGTGCAAACTGTGGGGACCCAAGGCCTCAGAGAAGTGGAATACTCAAACGGCTTCAGTTACTTCTTTCTGAAGCCGTTTGAATATTCAACTTCTCCCACCCCGTCTTTAGAGATTTACAATACGTGTATTTCTTTATGTAATGTGGTACACATGCTTAAAAGGTACAATGATGGTACATTATCATCGGGAGCGCTAAACCCGTAAGGATTATACAGTCCCTGTGGGGAGGGGAAGTGATGGAAGGTATTCAGGCTCAATTCAGGGAAATGGAGCACAGATCAAACTCCTTAGATCAAGAGTCCCTCACCAGCGTCAAGGAACCTCCCTTGAGGGTTCACTGATGGTACAGAGAGGGAGTATACAATACATGACATTTAAGGGATACAAGTACATATAGCAATGTGTATATAAAATATTACATTACAACAATGTCATACAGCTCCTCAGAGTGGAGAGTGTACTCAAAATACAACAGGTTATTACCCCTCTGAACTGCAACACTCAGTCCCTGGAATAGAAAACTAGATGCCCTTAGATCCTTCGTTGCATCGATAAGTCTTTTACCTAGCTCCTTGGGAAATATGGATGCGCTCTTTCCCAATGGGCTGAGGGTCTCTAAGCATACAGGAAGAAACAAAGATGGATAAAAATATATTTCATTGTGTTTGTTTATTATTAAATTATTATAAACCTATCTAAAATATATTTAGTTGGCTTACGCTAAATTAAACTGCGCTTGTTATAGTAAGGTTAGGTAAGTTTTCTACGGTGCCTCGTGGCCTGGTGGCAATATCTCTCGCTTCACACGGTGAGGGTCCGGGTTCCTTACACCGGTTGTCTATGTTCACATATCAGTAAAATGGGTATCTGGGTGTTAGTCGACTGGTGTGGGTCGCATCCTGGGACAAAACTGACCTAATTTGCCCGAAATGCTCTGCATAACAAGGGGCTTTCTATATAGTAGTATGTCACTGATTTATTATTATTAAAGATTTGCCGGTATTCTCCCGGCCCGGGCCTTTTCCAAGTGGTGGCCCGGCCTTGGTTCCCTGTCTAGGGAGTGTCTGTGACCTAAGTCTCCCATGGAAGTAGGCACAAGTACCCCTTCATCTTTGGGACCAACTGTCCCCAGGCCTAGCCACATTCCCCGCCCTCACGGGGCTCGTAGGAAGAAGCTAGGTCTCTCTGGTCTGCCATCCCCGCCCCAAGGGGGTTATTGGGAATGGCAGTCTTGTGAGCTGCAAGCTCTGGCTCAGGCACCTACCCTGCCCTAGAAGGGCTGGGCATGGTGTCGATCATGTCATTGATGTCAGCTATGACTGTATACCTTGTAAATGTACTTGTAGAAATAAAGATATTATATTATACTATTTTAAGGTTCTTTTGGTACAAAATTATTAATTTTTACATTAATATAAACGAAAAAATGTATCTTTAAATGTATACGAGAAATTTTTAGAAAGGATTAATTTTAAAACGAGTTCTTGCTGAAGGATCAATTGCACCTATTTGGCACGACACTGGTCAGAGAAACAGCCAACATCGAGCGTAACCTAAAGGAATCTTACAGGAGACAAGAAACGCGGGAAGAATTAGAAGCCAGAAATGAAACTGAAAGAAATCCGAAATATTTCTTTTCTTATGTCAGATTTAAGTCGAGAACAACATTCAGTATTGGGCCCCTACTTAGACGAGATGGATCCTACACAGATGACAGCAAGGAAATGAGTGAGCTACTCGAGTCCCAGTATGACGCGGCTTTTAGCCAAAGCTTTCGACAAGTGTGACTATGGTGTAATAGCACATAAAATGTATGATAAAGGAATAATAGGAAAAGTTGGTAGGTGGATCTATAACTTCCTGATAAATAGCACAAAAAGAGTAATAGTAAACAGAGTAAAGTCCCAGGAAGCTACGGTGAAAAGCTCTGTTCCACAAGGCACAATACTCCCTCCTATTCTATTCCTCATCCTCATTTCTGACATAGACAGATGTAAGCCATAGCTCCGTGTCTTCCTTTGCGGATGACATCCGGATTACCATGGCAGTGACCTCTATCGAAGACACCGCGAGACTCCAAACGGACATCAACCAGATCTTCGAATGGGCCACTCAAAACAATATGAAGTTCAACGAGGAGAAATTTCAACTACTCAGATATGGAAAACTTCAGAAAATTAAAAATGTATCTGGGTACACGACAATTTCTAACCATACAATAGAGCGGAAAAGAAATGTGAAGGACCTGGGAGTGATAATGTCAGAGGATCTCGCCTTCAAAGACCACAACAATCTATCTACCTCATCTGCTAGGAAAATGATAGGATGTATAATGAAAACCTTCAAAACTAAGAACGCAAAGCCCATGATGATCCTCTTCAAATCGCTTGTTCTCTCTAGGCTAGAATAATGCTGTATCTCAGTAGTAGTAACCAGTTACCAGTCTCAGTAGTAGTAACCAGTTACCAGTAACCGTCCGTTGACTCAACGACCAACCGTCTCTGCCTGAGTCACGGTCTTTCATATTGTGCTGACCTCAGCAGTATTCAAAGGCCCCCTCACATAGGGTACTGCAGCCGGCTAGTCAGTATTACGAGTGTAACCAAGGAGATAGGTAGGGCTGGCAAGGGCTCTCTCCACATAACAGCAATTATACGTAATAACAGCCTACGTGAGTATTTCTTCCCTAATCCACGTATCGAACTCCCACATGATATGTACACTAACGGTCCCCTTCAAGGCAGGTGAAATTGCTGACCTGGAGAGTGTACAAAAAACTTTCACGGCACACATAAGTACGATAAAGCACCTAAATTACTGGAAACGGTTGAAGGCCCTTGATTTGTATTCTCTGGAACACAGGCGAGAGAGATACATGATAATGTACACTTGGAAGGTCCCGGAGGGATTGATACCAAACTTGCACATGAAAATCACTCCCTATGAAAGCAAAAGACGTAGCAGGAGATGTAACATTCCCCCGATGAAAAGCAGGGGCGCCACGAGTACACTGAGAGACAATACAGTAAGTGTCCGAGGCCCAAGACTGTTCAACTCTCTCCCAGTATACATAAGGGGGATTACCAATAGACCCCTGGCTGTCTTCAAGAAGGCTTTGGACAGGCACATAAAGTCCGTACCTGATCAGCAGGGCTGTGGTTCGTACATCGGATTACATGCAGCCAACAGTAACAGCCTGGTTGATCGGGCCTTGACCCACTATGAGGCCTGGTCACAGACTCGTCCGCGGGGGCGTTGACCTCCGTTATTCATATAATTATATATATATTATATATATATATATATTATATATATATATATATATATATATATATATATATATTATATATATATATATATATATATATATATTAATATATAATATATATATATATAATATATATATAAACACACAAATAACCCGCATATAAAAGAGAGAAGCTTACGACGACGTTTCGGTCCGACTTGGACCATTGACAAAGTCGTCGTAAGCTTCTCTCTTTATGTGCGAGTTATTTGTGTATCGTTCCAGTCACGGTATTGTGCCTTTTTGTTATTTATATATATATATATATATATATATATATATATATATATATATATATATATATATATATTAATATATATATATATATATATATATATATATTATTATTATTTATCACACTGCCGATTCCCACCAAGTCAGGGTGGCCCGAAAAAGAAAAACTTTCACCATCATTCACTCCATCACTGTCTTGCCGGAAGGGTGCTTTACACTACAGATTTTAAACTGCAACATTAACACCCCTCCTTCAGAGTGCAGGCACTGTACTTCCCATCTCCAGGACTCAAGTCCGGCCTGCCGGTTTCCCTGAACCCCTTCATAAATGTTACTTTGCTCACACTCCAACAGCACGTCAAGTATTAAAAACCATTTGTCTCCATTCACTCCTATCAAACACGCTCACGCATGCCTGCTGGAAGTCCAAGCCCCTCGCACACAAAACCTCCTTTACCCCCTCTCTCCAACCTTTCCTAGGCCGACCCCTACCCCGCCTTCCTTCCACTACAGACTGATACACTCTTGAAGTCATTTCTGTTTCGCTCCATTCTCTCTACATGTCCGAACCACCTCAACAACCCTTCCTCAGCCCTCTGGACAACAGTTTTGGTAATCCCGCACCTCCTCCTAACTTCCAAACTACGAATTCTCTGCATTATATTCACACCACACATTGCTCTCAGACATGACATCTCCACTGCATCCAGCCTTCTCCTCGCTGCAACATTCATCACCCATGCTTCACACCCATATAAGAGCATTGGTAAAACTATACTCTCATACATTCCCCTCTTTGCCTCCAAGGACAAAGTTCTTTGTCTCCACAGACTCCTAAGTGCACCACTCACTCTTTTCCCCTCATCAATTCTATGATTCACCTCATCTTTCATAGACCCATCCGCACACGTCCACTCCCAAATATCTGAATACATTCACCTCCTCCATACTCTCTCCCTCCAATCTGATATTCAATCTTTCATCACCTAATATTTTTGTTATCCTCATAACCTTACTCTTTCCTGTATTCACCTTTAATTTTCTTCTTTTGCACACCCTTAACCAAATTCATCCACCAATCTCTGCAACTTCTCTTCAGAATCTCCCAAGAGCACAGTGTCATCAGCAAAGAGCAGCTGTGACAACTCCCACTTTGTGTGTGATTCTTTATCTTTTAACTCCACGCCTCTTGCCAAGACCCTCGCATTTACTTCTCTTACAACCCATCTATAAATATATTAAACAACCACGGTGACATCACACATCCTTGTACCCTCTTTCCTACATACTCTAACTTGAGCCTCACTATCCTCGTAAAAACTCTTCACTGTTTTCAGTAA